ATATATATATAGCTAAATAATAAATATTTTTTTGATAAATAGAATACATTTTGATAAATAGAAAAAATGTGCATTCATTTGATAAATAGATATTTCAATAGAAAAGAACAGCATTTATCTGGAACAGAATTTTTTATATAACAACATACAAACTTTTTGTTATATAACAATTTCACTTTTGATAAATTTAATTCATCCTTGCTGAATAGAAGTATTAAATTCTTTGAAAAACAAATCATATTGACACTAAACATTTGAATGGTAGTGTGTAGCTTATATTTATTTATTTTATTTTTTTTGATTAATAAAAGTTTTCTTCCTGTAACAGTGATATTTCAGTGGACATTGCATGCCAACTTTATGCATCAAAAAATCTAAATATTATCTATATTCCTCTCTTCTCTTTAGGGTGAGGCAGGAGCTGAAGGTCCACCAGGTAAAACTGGACCAGTTGGCCCTCAAGGCCCTCCTGGAAAGCCTGGTCCTGAAGGTCTACGTGGAATCCCTGGTCCTGTGGTGGGTTCTCATGTCACTCATCGACTAACTATACATCATATTACATACACATATTTACAGTGGCCCCAAATAGTATTAGGACACTTAAGATGCACTTGAAGTACTGTGAATTTAATATTATAAATATATAAGTGGTGTCTGCAAATATATGATGTTTAACCTTTTCTTTAAACTTTCTCATGCTCGTGAATATTAATTATGTGACATGGCATTTTCCCAATAATTCTAACTGATTACTACTCACCACTGCCAATGCTAGCTAGCAGCTTTTGCGTGGTCTTAAAGTTGTCAGTGTACAAGGTCAGCTATAATTCTTTTCTTTGCACTGCGGACAAGCAATGCAATGGAATTCATGCATTTTTAAGTGTGGCTTAAGTACTCAAATAATTTGTTTGGCCACTGAATAGACTAAATGCACACACACACACACACACACACACACACACGAGAACAGAATTATATGAAACACCTCACGGAATAATAAATCACCTCTCTTTGAGTTTACAATCTGTATCTTTCTCTTGTACACTCTGTATCTGTTTCGTGTCTATTTGAAAACAGGTTTTTTAGTATCTGGGCTATTAATCATTGTCCAGCCCACAGTAAATCAATGCCAGACCATAAGCAAAAAACAGTGCAATAATGGCTGTTGTAATTGGATGGATTTTCACAGGGTGAACAAGGACTTCCTGGTGCTCCTGGACAAGACGGCCCACCTGGACCAATGGTAAGAAGAGAGACCCCATTGCCCTTGCTCGTTCTTTCTGTCTATCTTTCACCCTCTATCTCCTTGCTGTGTGTTCGTGTACATGTGGGTATATGTGAGCAAATTTAATTTTCACTGTTGGTTCTTTGATATTTAGGGACCTCCTGGTCTCCCTGGCCTGAATGGAGACCCTGGCTCTAAGGGTGAGAAGGTGAGTGACATTCTATTTCTTTTCCTGCCATTTTTATTAATGTGGTGTCTTACATTTCAGAGAGGCTCAAGGTCAAAGATAAAGACTAGACTTGGTCACTCCAGGAAGTCAGAGGAAAAGTTTCACAGCCAGGGGAAAAGTTCAAAGTCTATTATTGTCTTTTAGTGTCACAAGGGCAAAATGTTTTATTTTATTTCTTCATATTTTGCCATGGAAATGTATTTATTTAAGGTAAATAATATTTTTATGTTTTTTTCCCCATCTATCTATCTGTCTATCTACTCATTTTAGTTTTTACATTTTAGTTTTTTTGTCTTTAATTTTTTATTTTTTTTTTTAAGTTTTAGGGAGGGTTTTTTACATTTTAACTTTTGTTTATTTTAATCTTTAGCATTTTATTTTTCTGAATTTTTTTCATATTTAGCCATGAAAATATATATTTATTCATATAATGTAAATAATAAATCATATAGTTTTTCAGCTTTTACTTCAGTTATTTTAGTTTTTTTTTTTTTGTCTTTGTTTTTTGTTTTTGCATACTTAGCCATAAAAATGTATTTATAATGTTGGGATCAGACTTTGTGCTCATAAAAACATTGTTGTCTGAACATATTGCATAAAAGTTGGCCATCAACTGATCTTCTGATCTGTGACATCCACCATCATATGCATTTTTCTTCCAGGGTCACCCCGGTCTTATTGGTCTCATCGGACCCCCCGGTGAGCAGGGAGAGAAGGGAGATCGGGGTTTGCCTGGTCCTCAGGGCGCTGCTGGCAGCAAGGGTGATAATGTGAGTCACTAATGATTTATTTGTCCTTTCCACCCCACCACACAAAAAAATGTTGTACCTCCAGCAGCGCACCTATCAGGACTTCTCCTGTAATGCTTGCAAATTAAAGTAACGACCGACAGAAACAATAACGTCTGCGCTTATTGCATCTGTGTACATCATCATAATTGTGTTATGGATGAAGCTGTCATGAAAGGTTCTCAGAGCCAGCGGTAATTCTGTTACACCAGACATTCCCATCAAACACCAGTGCGATTACATTTTTTCACAGTCAAACTGTGAAATGTTTGTTTTTCTTTGCCTCGTTGAGGAACCATACAACACCTACTTAATGCAGTCGAACGCTTCAGCAAATCTATAGAAAACCTTCATTGAATAAACAATTAGAAATTGCATTGGACTCATCTGGCCCTTTTTTCAGTGGTTTAAAGCAATGCAACTTTAAACATATTCTGATTAAGCTTAATGAAATTGTAGTCTCCCCTTATGCGAGTTTGGAAAAACTAAAAATTGAAACCGATCCCATCTCACTAATGTCTCCCACTAGACAGATTTGCGATCTGTTACTGCATTTAGTAACAGAGGATGCATTTCTCCCCAAAGAATGAACTCAAAAGTCCTTGACTCTAATGAAATGTAATGATCAGTGTGTAATACACACCAGAGAATCATAATTAACAAGAGTAATTTTCATCTCTGTGACAAAAGAATCGTAATTTTAAAAACAATTCTTAGAAAGAAAATGAATCTCATCACCTCACAGTTGTTAAAAGTTAACCAGCATCTTACATGCTTGTTTTATAGATCCATTTACAAATCAATAATATGAAGTTCTACTTTCTAACCTTCTGCTCTTTAAACTGTAGGGTATCAGTGGTGCTTCTGGTCCGATTGGTCCATCTGGTCCTCCTGGATTGCCTGTGAGTCTTTGCTCTGTTGCTGGCATCTTGCATTCAGTGTTGTGCTATCGTCAAATTGTACACTTTCTGAAATTGTCACATGATCTATTTATAACATTAAAATTATAAGACAGCATGCAAAGGAATGAGTTTTTACATCAGATTATTCTTAAAATTGTAATTTTGGACTGTCCCACCTCAGCCGTCTTGCCAGTATTGACTGTATTCATCATTAAAATTTATAAAAGTTATACAAATTAATTCAAATCATAATTTTGACATACAATATCAATCAAAAGTCTGGCATCAGTAAAGTTTTTTCAAGAAATTAATATTTTTATTTACCAAGGACAAATTAAATTGATTAAAAGTGACTGTAAAGACATATATAATTTTACAAAAGATTATATTTCAAATAAATGCTGTTATTTTGAACTTTCTATTCATCAAGAATTCCTTAAAATAATTAGAGTGATTTCTGACGGATCATGTGACACTGGAGTAGTGTCTGTTGAAAATTCAGCTTTGTCATCACAGTAATAAAAGAAATATTATTTAAAATATATTTAAATAGAAAACGGTTATTTTAAATTGCAATAATATTTAACAATATTTCTGGTTTTACTGTATTTTTGATCAAATAAATGCAGACTTGGTGAGCATAAGATACTTCTTCCAAAAACATTTAAAAATCATACAGACTCCAAACTTTTGGACGGTAGTGGGAATTGATATTCATTTCATTTTGGAACAATTAGAATTATTTAAATAAAGTAAATTCTACAAATTCAAATTCTCAAATTCAAAATTGTAATTTTAACTATATTTGGCAGGCTCAACTTTTAATACATGTAAATTTTGTAAGTAAGTCTTCATAAAATGCATTTCCATTTTCCTTTAGGGTCCAGAAGGGCCAAAGGGATCCAAGGGTTCGTCTGTAAGTACCACTTTATCACTGATCAATTCGGTGGGTTACTTATAATGACGTTAAAAATGGACTTATGGTTTTCAAATCTTCTTCCCGCAGGGTCCCGCTGGTCAAAAGGGAGACACCGGCTCGACCGGACCTCCTGGTCCTCCTGTAAGTGAACTTCTGCTTGCTTCAAAGCGATTTTAATTATATCAAATGCAAGAGGCTCATGGAGCGTACACTCATTTTCTCATTCCATAGGGTCCTCCTGGTGAGATCATCCAGCCTCTGCCTATCCAGATGCCCAAGAAGTCCCGTCGCTCCATCGACATGCAAGCGGACGAGGCCGGCACCATGCTGGACTATGGAGGGGGCATGGAAGACATCTTCGGCTCCTTGAATAACCTCAAACAGGACATTGAGCGCATGAAGTACCCCATGGGCACGCAAAACAACCCCGCACGAAGCTGTAAAGACCTACAGATCGCTCACCCAGAATTCTCAGATGGTAAGCAAATGAGGTGGGGGGTAAAGGAGACACTGTTGAACAGATAAATCTGGAAAACATGCAACGTTTGCTGGTTTCCAAGCTACTCAGGAGGTATTGGCTGTGTTTCTAAAATTCTAAGCCCGCCACTCAGGAGAATTTGAATAACAGCAGCAGCAGTCGACGGCTGATTGGGAAGATGTTTAGCATTCTGCGGACTCCAGCGAGAGCTAACCTCTCCCTCCCAAATCATGGCTTACAAAATGCCAGATCTTACACTGACCTTTCAGAGCTGGTTTTACCGCACTCGCATTAGCCTGCTATTTTATTTACACAACGCAAGTGTGTGTTTTTAGCTGTGGAAATGAATAGAAAGCCAGGGTATCTTTGTATATGATCTAAATGATTTCCTACTGTACCTGTGGTCGTTCCAGACACTGATGTCTGATGGTGTTTTTTTCTCTCAGGTGAATACTACATCGATCCCAACCAGGGATGCCCCGGGGACTCCTTCAAAGTGTACTGCAACTTCACAGCAGGAGGCGAGACCTGCATCTTCCCTGATAAAAAGTCAAATGGAGTGAGTGATATTCTGGAAGAATTAGCCAATAACAGCCGGAAAAGATCACAACATCTTACCTCTGTCACATACAGTGGGTTTTCTCCTAAAGACCATAGGAGAGCCTGAATCAGTCACTTCAGAGATGTTTTTTTTTTTAGCGTGATTGTTACTTATTGGAGATGTAGATCCAAACACATTGTTCCCCTTATATAGCAAAAATTGTAAATATGCACTTCTACATAGTTTTTTTTTTTTTTTTAGAATTACTTGAAATGTTTTGTCTTTCCAACAGCTTATAGTGTTTATCTGTGCATTCAGATCCAAAAGATCAGGAAAACAAGGTTCAAATTTGATCAAATTTGAGTGGAAAACTTATTCTCAACATTAAAATAATTGCTTTATGGGAATAACTGCTTTTCTCATGCTGTGTTTAACAAAGCTGTGTATTTCAGTGAGATGGATTTTCATTTCATTCCAATTGTTGGAACAGATGCTGTATGAAAAATAGCTGGGTTTAATTTTATTTAATTTTCTGCTAAAGTAAATATACTGTTCATTCAAATCTATGGGCACAGCTGGTCTTTTGCTGTAATGGTTTTTTTTTTTTTTCACGTTTTTCTTTCTGTCATCTTTAAGGTGAGGATATCTTCATGGCCCAAAGAGGTTCCTGGCTCCTGGTTCAGTGAATTTAAGCGTGGCAAAATAGTAAGTGCACTTTCTGGTTCTTCTTTCATCTTCTCCTTTATGAAAAACACCATCTTGTCCTTCGAAACTAAAAGGGCCTGAGTGGTCTGCTTGGTCTTTATTCTTTACTCAACCATTGGACAGACACCAGTAAGAGCTGAGCTTTTAAAAACTGCTGTCACTGTAGCCCTGGATCCATCAAGAAGCAGAGCACGCACACACACACACACACACACACACACCGCATTTATATTTGATGTAGCTGAGAGTTATGAAGGTGCCGCTGCACCTCTGTGAAACACGCCGGCTTTATGTTTCTGGTGTCTGTTCTGACTGTTTTCTACTTTGTCAGAAGCAAAAACTTCCAACTTTACCCGTTTTAGATCAATTTATTGGTGCCTATGAAACCAGTGACTTGTTTCAAGTTAATACTTCATAATTTTTCCTCATCTTTTAAGATCTGATTATAATTAAGTTGCAACTTATTAACACAACAAACCTAAATAACAAACAAAATATGATATAATATTATATTATTTATATTATTAACTTTAAAATTAACTTAGAAAATGTAAGATATTTAAAAAGGGAAAATAAGAGGGTATTTTTATAACTTATAAAATTAACAAATTTATAAATATATAAATACATATTCAAAAATAAGAGGATATTATTGAGGTCCCCAAACAAAATAATAATAATAATAATAATAATAATAATAATAATGAGTTAATCGTTTGGCTTTGTGTGATGTTTTGAACATTGCTGTTGTACAATATCCAGCTATTATTGCAGATTAATTTTTGTTTAATATTTTTGTAAAGAATAATTAGTGCTGAATAATAATAATAATAATAATAATAATAATTTTTATAATAATAAATGAATAAATAATAATTATTATTATTATGTGTACTGTGCCACATATTTAATTAAAAAAAAAAAGCATTTATACAAAAACATATTTGGTGTGCCAAGTGAAAATGCTGCTGGTGAACAAATCCTTAAATGTCGAATCCTGAAAACCTTTCTATCTAACCTTTCTAAACCATTCTAACCTTTCTATTTTTGTGTTCACCCTCAAGCTTTCATACGTGGATGCAGAAGGCAACTCAATAAACATGGTCCAAATGACGTTTCTCAAACTACTGACAGCCTCCGCCAGGCAAAACTTGACCTACAGCTGCCACCAGTCGGTCGCCTGGCACGATGCCACTACGGACAGCTACGACAGAGCACTACGCTTCCTCGGCTCCAATGACGAGGAGATCTCATACGACAACAACCCCTTCATCAAGGCCCTGTCAGACGGCTGTGCGGTGAGTCTTCAATCATAGATTTAAATATGCGTCATTTAAATATGCAACGCACGTTTCTGACTGTCCTTTTCTCGTCCTATAGGTGAGGAAGGGCTACGGAAAGACGGTACTGGAGATTAACACTCCCAAGATCGATCAGGTTCCGATCATCGACGTGATATTCACTGACTTTGGGGATCCCAACCAGAAATTTGGATTCGAAGTTGGTCCAGTCTGCTTCCTTGGCTAAAAAACACAGACAAAGAAAACAGTACCAATAACTTGGCAGGGTAGGATGGGTTAGCGCACGAGTCAAGACTTTTTTTCTTGATCTCATCAAACCATCAAGCCCCTGTTCCTGCCACATGCAAGTTTTGAATAAAAAAATGGGGTAGCGAACACGTCTTACCTTGTATGTATGTATTACCCAGGAAAATACTTGTTGCCCTTGTAGGGCAAGGATCACATGACATGAAACCTGTTATGGAACGAAAAGGTGAAGGACAACGTCAAGCCAAGGCAATCGGTGAACCTGGGAGGTCCACGAGACGGAGAAAGGGAGGACCTCTCATCCGGAGTCTATCGGTGCAGTGCAAAAAAAAAAAGAAAAGAAAAAAAGACGACAACAATGGTGCTTGTTCAAAATTCAAAAAAAGAGGTGCTATGAGAAAGAGGATGTATTTTAATAAAACTGTAATTATTATTTTGTACATTATTGTTGTTTCTGAATCCACTTTCAAAACTTGCATGTGTATCACAATTGCATCTGGCTCTTAATTTCCAACTCCCTCACGGACGTTTATAAGTTATAGAACTGAATAAATAAAGAATGAAATACTGATATTTTGTGGATGAATACTGTGTACTTATTATTAAGCAAATAAAATACAGCATTCAAACAGTTCCCTATTATTAATTGTAATGTAAGTCCTTTGTATATATATTGACCATCCCGAAGTCGCTCACAGTTCGGCCCAATGAACACCTCAAGAGGAAGATTCAACAGCACATGCAACACAACTAATGTTGTCTCCTGTGCTTGATTTAAGTAATCTTGCCATTCATTCACATTCATTTAATTTTTGTTGGTTATTTGTTTGTTTTTAGAATTTTTTTTTTTTTTTCAGTTGTAGATCGGTCGTATACCTCAAATCTTGAAAATAACCATACCGATGCAAGTATGGTGTGCCCTGTATATACCTTGGTTATACAGTTAAGTTTATATATTTTGGGTGGGGATTTATTTTTTTTTTATTGGGAAAAAACATCATCAAGGCCTTTTCGGTGACCCATTTTTGTAACTAAAATGAGAAATTGTTTTAAATGTGCTTTATATGGTTCATTTCATTATTAAAAACTGGATTCCAACCAACCATGAAATTGAGGTGTGGGTTGTTTGCTTGCTTCGTCAGGTCAGACCGTTTTATTGTCTGTTCGGTATGTGCATTTGTATGATTTTACCTGTTTACTATGGTTAAAAAAAAAAAGGTTTTAAATGACATCTGTGCAATTCATCTGACCGATACCTTCGGTTTCAAAGACGCCATTTTAGTGCCAATAAGTGACCTGTAATATTCCAGAATTGCATTGGTTAAAATAAATGTTTGCTAACTCATGCATAACACGTTGTTTAATTAATTACTTCCGCATATCATTTATCATGCATTACAGCTCATTAGCAGGTCATCTGGGATGTCTGAACAGGATGAGAACAACGGGTTTACTTTAGAAAACTTTAATACAGATTTCATACAGGTCCCTCTGGCTCCTTTCCTAATCGAGTGCTGGAAACTACACAATCTGATGGTACCTACACATGGAGTCTCATTAGGCACTGCATTTAATATGAAATCCCCGTCTCCATTTCAGCCTCTATAGTAAGAATAAACCTCTCTCTATCCGCTGTTTGATGTCTCTGTATCCTCACCGGTTAGATCAGCAATGAATTCTCTGCATTATTATTGGACAACTCTATTCAAGCTTTCAAAGGAATGCCAATATGATATTTTTCTTTAGGCAAAGACTTTGAGTTTGCCATTTCACCATGAGCCTTTGTGGCAGGCATTCTCTGCTTAGCATTTAAAAAGATTTGACTCTCTCTGGATGGACATTTGAGCAGCATCTTAGTCTCTTCAAGAACTTTCCTGCATGACAGGGCTACGGTGTTACATTTGATAACCATGACTTAAAGATACAACATACATTAAGGGGGAGAGGCGTTTTAATTGAGCATATTCACACTCAAAACTTGTCTGGGAGGTTTGCTGCCTAATCAAAGACTGGTAACCTCTTTATAGTCGAAATAAAAGTGAAATGGTTTTCTCACAATATATGCTTAGTCAGCTTCACAAACCTAAAGCGGAGAATGCATAAAAGACCATGTGCCTGTGGGAGTGTGTTTTTGTTCTTAAACAGCATGAGAGTCAAATCAAATATCCATGTTTAAAGCTTAAAAATCAGTTAATGCTCTCTTAGTGGAGCTTGCAGGAAGCTGTTCCTTCTCTGTATTATTGTTTCTGGTGGTTAGACACTGTACATCCTAAGCACACAGCCAAGACAAACAATGGAAAGCCTTTTTTTCTCCAAAAAACAATCTGGGGAGAAAACCTGAACTGAATGATTCATTTGTGAGTGCGCCTCTTACTGATTCAGTGTTCCGGACTAAGCGAGTCTTAAGTTAACAGATCTCTGAATTGGTCATGTCCAACTCAAAATGAGACAAAAATTTTAGTAAGCGATTTTTGGCTAGACTAAGCTATAAATGTGACTTTATGTCGATAGTCTAGGCCAGGGGTAGGCAAGTTCGGTCCTAGAGAGCCGCAGTCCTGCAGAGTTCAGCTCCAACCCTAATCAAACACACCTGAACAAGCTATAGGCTATAGGCAGGTGAGTTTTTTTTTCAGGGTTGGAGCTGAACTCTGCAGGACTGCGGCTCTCTAGGACCGAACTTGCCTACCCCTGGTCTAGGCAGACAGTGATTGGAAACACCCTCCTGAGATTCAACAGAACGCTACTGTCAGATTGACACGTATCATCCAATCATGAGAAAATGTGACTATAAGCCCCGCCCCCCATCACCTGCATTGCTCTGCTGGGTGCATGGACACTTGAAAGATGTAGTTTGTCTAATTTGTTCCAAAAGATATACCATAGCAGAGGGGTTTGTCTCCTCACTTCATCAGTAATTACCTGAGCTGTCCAACAATGAAAACGTTCAATTAATTCTCTGCATGTGTTGTCTTTTGTGGCATTATTGTGGAATGGGGGAAAAAACACCCACACATCTCTCTTCAGGGGCCGTATGGGACCTGCCTGTCTCTTCTCCGTCTCCTCAAAGGCAGATGAACAAAGATCAAACAGGCTGGCCAATGGCATTAACTTTGAATATTCAAGCTGCATGGGTACAGAGAGATGCCACATAACTGCCAGCCCATAATTCCCTCAAAAGGAACGCTAAGCCTCAAATCATAAAACAGCCACCCATTTAAAAAATAAAAAGCAGGAGAGTTTCCATTGCTGTCAGTCAAGGCAATCCTCAAAGAGAAAAGCTGAAAGAAGCGAACCTAAAAGGTAGCTGTGCATTAAAAAGACTCTAAAGCAAACTTAACGAGACATTCAGCATAATTGGGATGTTTCATAACTACTGCAATGAGGATATGAAGCTCTATGCAGGTAATTAAGTCTGGCTATTAGAAAAATGCACAAGCGGAGAGGTGTTGTAAAAGCAACACTGATTATGATGGGAAGTACAGCAGGTGGTGTATGGATTTGCAGCCATTTACAGAAATGAGCATTTAACGCCTGGTGGGCAGGTGTAATTGTACACATAACCTTCAGAACTTCATGGCCACCAACATCTCGTCGCTGGGAGAGATATAAGTTCACTGTATATAATGGTGGTTGGGCTTTATTGCTCGCACACATCTTTTCAGGCCTGACACCGGAATATAAAAATTCCTTTATACTTGAGGATGTCAGAATTCACAGGCAATTTCACAAACAGTCCAAGCATGATTTCAAACCAGTGCAGAATGAAAACTAGACTATTACTAATGTAAAAGTGACCAGGGCTAGTTGTCACACTAATCTGTAACCATCACGGTTTTGAGTCAAATGTCCAACAAAAGCTTGTTTTTTCTTGTTCAAATTTCGATATCATGTAAATTTTGCTACACATGTTTGGTAAAAACGTGAACACCAGATCAATATCTACTACTAGTTTCTTACCTAGCGGATTTTGTAGATTTAGAAACTTACATTTTAAACACAGTATTGCCTGTTACTTTGTATTGTTCTACCAACAAAAAAAAAGAGTTTTAAACAAAAGCCTCAGCAGAGGCTTTGCAGCATTGTGATACAGTGTTTCAAATCAATCGGTTAAGTAAATGATTCAATGACTCATTTATAAAGACACTGGCTGTTTCTCAATTCCAAAAACACAACGAACAAACTCGTGTTCTCATGGAGACCAGTCTTGCCAGGCTACCTTGGAAGAACAAACTCAGAAGGATGCAAGGACATTGTAAGGAGTGATCAAAGTAGAATAGATCAAATATAGCATCACAAACAAATGTCATAACCTATTAAAACATTTATTTTATATGATTATGGATATAAATTATTTTCATATTATTTTATATCTCTTTATTTTACCGTGTGCATTTGTGAAAATGGGTATGTATATTTGTTATATGCTTGCAATGAAGTAAAAACAACAGCCAGTTTTTAAAGAGATTCGCTGTTTCTGACATAAGCGAATAAAATAATATTTTCTATTATAGCTGTTCTGTCATAAGCGATACGCGCGAATCGAATAATAGGATACAAACGGGCTGATAAGGTCAGAGC